ACACACACACACACACACACACACACACACACACACACACACACACAGCTACCACCTGTAGAGGCCGCTGACTCTCAGTTAGATATGGAGCCGCAGAAGGAATCAATAGAAGATAAACCTTTACACCACTTCTCTCACTTCTCACTGCTGCTGTACAGAGGATGCCTTGATTAGAATGACTATTGGCCACTATTACACCCTCAACTACAGTGGAAAATACTACACCACACATGCTTCTTTAGCGTAGAAACCCTACAGGTGAATTCAAATGTCTTTGGCAAAATCAACTCTGTCTGTACAAGTTAATTAACTTAGTTACTAATTAGTAGACATCTTCTTTTTCCATCTCTTTTTCAGTTTTTAATGTTGTTAGTTTTTGCATGTCTTGTCTCTTGTGAATTATACTGTACACTACATAAATTAACTCAAATAAAAGTGTACTACAACAGTACTAAATGATAGTTTATAGTATAAAAAACAAATGCATGTCTGTCCAGCCCAAACCTGCTGGAAATGGACGAGGTTGATCACTTGGATTGTGTAGCACCCTCTACTGGCTTTTCAGTTCTCTGCAAGTGGAACTTCTACTAAAGCATCGTTTGAAAAATAATTTCTTACTTCATATTATTGTATGAATATAAAAGACCGTAGATGTATGGAATAAAGAAGACACTCACATATGTGCACACAACATGCCAAGGAACTTCTAAACTAGACATTTTAAAATCATCTTTATATACACATACACACACACACACACATACACACACTCTGTAACCAGCAGATGAAAAGTGTGAGCGTCTTTCAGTACTTATACACAGATAATGAATCTCTGGTAGAGAATTACAACACACAACCACTGCTCTCTCTTCCTGCTGCTTTTGTTAGTCCTTTACATGGATAAGGTGCTTAGTGTTCCTTAGGAGGGAGGGAGAGACACACACACACACACACACACACACACACACACACAAAGAGTGAGAGTGGGGGGATCTGACACCGAGAGAATTACATTAGCAGAAGCATTTCAGGGCAGAAAATAGGATTGAATTAATCTTTATCAAACACAGCCAAGAGCTGAGGGATCACACCCTGGTTGAAGCCAACCCGGCCTCAGAGTGGCTGGCCACTGCCCTCTCACTTACCACAATGACTAAACACCCACTGTAACAGTAAACCCACAACAAAGTATTTACTATTGATAAAATGCTTGATTGGTTTACTACCAGGTTGGTGGGGTTCAGTGTCTTTTGGTATTTGAGTGTCACAAAGTTATACTTTTTCATGGCTGACAGCCTAACAGATTCTAATTGGACTGACCTGATGCAGTAGGCCACACTTGTATAGAACTCCAAGAAGGTTAAATCATTCTTTGCAAAAACCTGTCTGGCTGAGGTACACAGATGTTTACCACAGGTGAATCTAGACTGGACGTGCCAGTTGAAGTGTTATAGGTCAGAAAACAAGGAAGCAGTTGGGAGCCAGAGGTGACGGCCACTCCAGCTGTCACGGTAGTCTAGCCAGCCAGCGTGGACTCTGGGGCTCTGTGGCCAGCAGCACAGTAAACAATACTACAGACCAACAGACTGGAGTCCCACATTATCTTAGAATGGCTACAATGTTACTTGAGAAGATAATTTAGTTTTATTTGTCTAGGCATGATATCTGAGCAGGAAGCCAGTGCTTCTATTCTTGGATGTTTTATGAGTGCAGATCTTCAAAGACTTCAAACTAATGTAAAATTGATATTCTGACTAAAAGACAAACTGCTCAGTGTATAGAAATGTCTTTATCAGATTATCTTGTTTTTCGTCTTTATTAGTCTGTCTTGAATATTTTAAAATATTTTTCTTATATAATAAATAGTCTTCTAATATGACTCTGACAACCCCCCCTAAAGAAATCTATAATGTTCTAATCACTATAAATATGGTCATTAGCGATGCCACCATCCTGATCTGGGTGGGAAGGGAAGAAGAAGAAGAAGAAGGCGAGAGGGTCAAATGGAGTGACAGCAATGGAAAAGCCATTAATGAACTAAACCCCTATTTTATGACTAAATTAAATATTCATGCACAATATACCCAAAACCCATTTGCCAACATTTCCTCCAGAATTTACTTTTCATATTTGCTGATTGTTATCACAGGGAAAAAAGAGAGAGGGGAAGTAGAATGAGAGGAGAAGAGGCAGAGCCATCGAAGGGGGGGGGGGGGGGGACTAAAATCCCAGCCATCATTTTGTTGCTCATTTCAAATTAATTTAAAGCCAATACGGCTAAATTACACAGCCACCATCCAACTACTAACAGGTTTCAGGATGGGTTTTTTATTTAAAGAAAAAATGTGATTAGCGTGAACATATTATATTATGTGGGATGGTTTATTTCGAGACAATGAAATGCAATAAAATTATGATTATTATTATTATAAATAGTAGTACTAGGTTATTGTAAATTAATGGTAAATCTGTGTGTTCTTCACTACAAGCGAGTTATCATGTGATCCATTGTTAAAATGAAAATAATGATTAAAGCTTCTTTATTTAATACGAGTATGTTGGGTTACTGGCCTTTTGTTTAAATGCAACGTTGACGTTACAGCTTGCTAAGTACATTAATTATTGCCGTGTGCTGTGATCCTAGTGTTACCCTTCTGCTCTCTTGATGAGGTCACGTACAGGAAACAAGCATCTGCATCTAGTCCCACTGCTGTCTCCTGTGAACCATGAAAACACACTCACACACACA